GCTTGGTTGGGATGGGCTTGGGTGGGGGTCAGCAGGGGCTGTGTAGGCGTGCACGTGGACCCCAGAAAGCAGTTTTCTCTGAACCCACACTTGGCTTCTGAGGCCCCCCTTGACTGCTCCCCTTACCTGCTCACTGGAGGTCAGAGAGGGAGGGTCATAGAGTGCTGAGGAGGGCAGAGGTGGGGAGCAAGGGGAAGAGGTTCCCCATGGGAGGAGCCCCAGGGCTGCATGAGTTCAAGGGTGACTTAGAGGTGAGAGAGGTCAGGAGGTCAGAGGGTCTGGAACAATTTAGGTTTGCTAGAAGGTCAACAGATGAGGTTACAAGAGTAGGGCCTAGGAGCAGGGTATAGGGCCCAACGGGGTGATATCAGGGCCAAAGGGTGGGCTCTGAGTTGGGGCAGGAGTGAGAGGGGGCTTCAAAGCCTGGAAGAGCTGGGGGAGGCAGCAGCCAGATTGTATGGGGTGCGGGTTGTGTAAGCCCTGGGCTATTCTGGTTTTGGGAAGCAGCTGCTTGTGGCCTGACCACATCCCGGGCCTGGGCGCCACCCGCCCACCCTCTCCCTTCCGGGCACCTTTCTCTGACCCTGTGGCCTGCACCAGCTCCCAAGGCCTCTGGGTCTGGTCAGACCCCACCTCGGCAGCTTCCCACAGGCGCGAGACGAGCCTCAGCCTCAGCCCCGTAGGCTTTCCCTCCAGCCCTTGCCAAGAGAGCTGCCAGGCCCATCTCCCAGGAGCAACCTCGAAAGAGGCCAGGAGTAGGTTAGATAGGGTCACCCCAGGCCCAGAGTCTCCTGGGGGTGGAACGTGTCTGTGTGTGCATGTGTATGCGTGAGGTGGCTTGCCAGCGTCAGACGGCTGAGCCCACAAGTCAGCCTATGTCTGCCCCCTGGGGGCCTGTCCCTACCTCTGTGGCTCTAGCTGAGGCTGTGTGAACCAGCCCTATCCACAGTGTGCCCGCGTCTCTGTGTCCATCCTCAGCCATATGGCTAGGAGGGGTCTTCGGACTGTCCTGCTGTCTCCCTTTCTTATTTATTTATTTATTTTTTGGAAAGGCTTTTGCTATAGGGCGCATGCGCTTGCCAGAAAGACAGAGAGAGACACTAAGCGAAAAATCACCCCCAGGGGGATGGCCATGCCGCAGTCCCTTCTCCTCCATTCTCCTCTCGGGATCTTGGGCATGCACGCACACGCGCCCAGTGTGAGTTTAAGCCACCGGGTCCGGGACTCAAACCACCGTTGACTACATGGGAGTCCAGCGACATAGCCATTACGCCAAGTGCTGGTTCCCCTGCTGTCTCTCTTTAATAAAGGGACTTGGTGGGGCAAGATGAGTGGTCACTTCACCCTCCCCCCGCCCCCAGAGACTAGAGGCCCATCTCTAGACTCCTTCAGGCCTGGACTCTAGAACTAACCCATACTGGGACTGGCCCCACGATATGGAGGGCCCAGAGTCACCGCCTACTCATCGCAACAGCCCACTCCCTAGGGCATGGGCAGGGATCACAGGACAGCAAGCCCATCTCCTCTAGGAATCACCCACCACCCCCTCACTATTGATTACCCACAGTTGTCCCCAACCTGCCTCAAGAGGTCTCTTCTCAGTCCTGGCTACCCTGTTACTCTCACAGACCTGCCATCTCCTCCCAGAATCCCCCTCCAACTCTTGGGGATAATGACACTGGGGGCCCTAGTGGCCCTGGTACTTGCTGATCTCCCAATGCATGGAGTTTTATGAGAGACATGCTATCTACCTCCTCCATATGACCCATACTTTCCCCCACCCAGCAGCCACCCTGGATCAAGAGCAATCACTTCCTAGCGCCAGTCTGCCAGCTTTGTCCAGAGCCCAGGGGAGGTTGGTTGGCCTCCTACCTTTCACAGTGGTCTGTGTGCCCAGACAGGGCAGCTGCCCTCCCAGGCTGGTCTGCTCCCAAGGCACTGCCATCGAAGCTCTGGCCCCGGCACCCTGTACCCCCACCCAGGGCTAGGGCAGGGGTAGGGGTGGTTCCTCATTCCCTAGTTCCCGCCCCCATAGGCCTCCACCTCTTTTTTTTCTTTTTTTTCTTTTTTTTTTTTTTTGGAGACGTTTTTGCTATAGGGCGCATGCGCTCACCAGACAGACAGAGACAGAGAGACAGAAAGCGAGAAATCACTCCCCAGGGAGGGTGGCCACGCCACAATCCCTTCTCCTCCACTCTCCTCTCGGGATCTTGGGCACACACACACACACATGTGCCTGGTGTGAGTTTAAGCCACTGGGTCCAGGACTCGAACCGCACTAGCCCCCCCCCCTTTTTTTTCCTTTTTTTTTTTTTGGAGACGTTTTTGCTATAGGGCGCATGCGCTCACCAGACAGACAGAGACAGAGAGACAGAAAGCGAGAAATCACTCCCCAGGGAGGGTGGCCACGCCACAATCCCTTCTCCTCCACTCTCCTCTCGGGATCTTGGGCACACACACACACACATGTGCCTGGTGTGAGTTTAAGCCACTGGGTCCAGGACTCGAACCGCAGCTAACTACATGGGAGTCCAGTGACATAACCATTACGCCAACTGCTGGTCCCAGTGTATCTGTTTTAAATGGTCTTCAATAAATAGGTGTAAGGTGCATTATGTAAATAAACAGACCCAAATGAATTAAAGTGTTTCTATCCTCTGAGAACATCCTGCTTTCTAGAAGCCAATGGAGCCTACATCTTCAAAGCCTCTGGTCCCCTGGCCAGGTACTCTGGCTGGCGGGCCCTGCGCTCATCTGATACTACACCAGCTGCATCCCAAGGCTGGAAAAGTGAGACCAGGAAAATTCTCAGAAATGTCCCAGATCACCTGCCCTCTCAGAAGGGCCTGGGGCAGGCTGAGGTCTCAGTCACACTGAGGCGTTCTCGCTTTTCTTTGTCTAGACCCGACCCACCTGAGATTTCCATGAAGTCATCCAGGCTGGGCTGCAGTGGCGTCAGGTCTGGCTGGATCATATCAGCATTGCCAACGTAGGCTGCAGGATGAGGTGTGCTGTCAGAAGTGGCAGGCAGGGTGGAGGGAGGCCCCTGCCCATGCCCCGTACCCCATCCCTGGGCTGGCCCAGACTCCCCCTGCTCCCTTCCTGGGTACGGGCCCTTACCGTCCTCTGGGGACAGCTGCAGGGATGAAGGGCTGTTCTGAGTCATGGTGAAGAGCGTGTCGGAGATGTCGGACAGAAAGCAGTTGAGGTCCAGGAGCTGCCGCCCGCTGGGCTCCTCCTCTGGGCCCCCCAGCAGCACGGGCACCACACTGGAGAAGAGCTGCTCGCACCATCGCTCCGGTGGGGGCCACCCCTCTTCCACCTAGCGAGATGGAGTGGTAAGCAGCTGCCAGAGGGCTCTGGCTGCCCTGGCGCTCCATGCTACCCCCTGCCTGGGGATGACATGGTCAGCAGGCCAGAAGGTCTGTCTGTGTGCAGCCTCCTTCACCTCTCCCTGACGGGCCTGGTTTGCTGCTTGGAGGGCAGGGACAGGAGACAGCCCAGGTTGGCCTGCTGAGAGACACGGCTCCCTTCCTGTCCCTGGACTGCCCCCTGTCTTGACCCCTGTTTCTAGGGTCCTTTGTTGCTCCAGGCCTCCCATCACTTGTGACCTGGGATCTTCCCATGTAGTGTCCTCCCAAGAGGAGAAGAGCTCAACTACCAGCCACTGCCCTGCGCACCCGGGAAGAAGCCAGTTATTCTCTACATTCCTCCTGCCAGGAGCGCCCCTTCCTACCTGGACTTCAGAGCACTCACCTGCTTAGGGGTCAGGAGATCCCCCTCCCTGCTGGACTTGCGGAGCTGCAGGGACACACAGTTAGACACTAAACCCCTCTCCCCTTCCTCCATCACTCCCTCATCACTCCTCCTCCTACTCACGAGGTCCCCCATCAATGGGATCCCCCATTTCGCCTCTCTGCCCTAGCAGGTTGAGAGGCTGCAAGGAGAACCGGTGGCCACACGGTGGCGCTGTCAATCCGGGACTTAACGGAGGGCCCGCGTTGGGGCGGGCTTGAGAGTCCGAGTAGGGGGTCCCTCCCGGAGCTCTTCCAGGAGAGGAGGTGGCCAGCAGCCTCAGGGGGACCTCTGAGCTGCGTCGCACTGACCCTCTTCTTGTAGTAGATGCGCCACTTGTGGTACTCGCGCATCACCACCTCGATGCGCCGCTTCCAGTAATTCCCTTCCAGGACGACGGCCTGGGGAGCGGGGAAGGGGTTCAGTGGGAAGGTAACACCAGCACCTTGCGGCGGTGCTCATTTCCCACCCTCACCCAGACCCCTCAGAGCCGAGGGATGGGAGGTAGGCAGGTGGCCTGAGCAGACCAAACCTCAATTACCTCTGGTTTCCGGTGTTCGTCAGCCTCCGGCCCCTGCAGTGGGGTCACGAAGCCACACACGGGGCTCTTCCTCCGCTCCACATCTGAGAGAAGGAAGCCAGGTCAGCAGCGCCCAGTCCCCCCTTCCCGCCCCCCAGGGGACTGGCATTCAAGTGACACCCTATAAAATCCTGGCCTTTAATACTCAAATTTAGCAACACCTCCTCCAGAAAGCCTTCCTGCCTGCTCTAGCCCTCTCAAACCTTCCTCTTTCTCAGCACTGTGAAACTAACCTGCCACTCCTCCTCTGCCTCCCTTGGAAGCTGGGTAGGCACGCGCAGGCAACACTGGCTGCACGGTTATGGGGCGGTAGGAGTAAGGGAGTAAGCTGCGCTAAGAAGGTCCTGGTCAGACTGGCTGGAGTTCCTAGGCCCACTTTCAGCTGGGAGAAGTGCCTCTGGTCCACCGCTGGCCACCTACCCCAACCTTTTCCCAGCCTCTGCACTCCCCGCCTCCAGTCTCCAATCCTGACCTCTCCCCAGGCTCCTTCTTTTTGCTCTATAAACACAGTGAGCAGCCTCTTCCTCCCCCAAATCTTTACCTTCCCTTTGCCGACCCCAACAACCAACTTTCTATGGCTTTGCATTTCCCCAAACTCTGGGAGAGTTGCCACGTACCACGTGTACTTCTACACCTCCCATGGCCTCTTCAGCCCCAGAAACTCAGCATCAGGCCCACTGTCCCAGCTCCGGAAATCGGGGGCCCCTCCCAGTCCCATCCTCTCAGACCTGCTGCACAGCATGCACTGCCCCAGAGCCCCAGACCTTCCCTCTGTCCTCTCCTCACTCCCTCCCCCAGTCTTCACTGACTCTCTGGGGCTGTCCAGGCCTGCCAACACCTCTTTCTCTGCCCCTATCCCAGCTGCCTGGGGACAAAAGGATGTCCCAAAACTTGCCATGGGAATTCCCCATCCGACTCTCAGCATTCCCAGTCTAATCCACTGACAGTCTTGGTTGCGCAGGGTCAGGGAAATTTCTTCCGCCATGCCTCTCTCACCATCACCCCCTAGTCTGGTGTCCCACTTGGACCTCCCTGATTCCAGCCTCACTCTCCAGCCCCTCTGCTTGCTGCATTCAGGTCAATTGTTCTAAAGCACAGTTTGGGTCTGAAACCCTCCATGGCTCCTTCCACTCTTCAGGATAAAGCCTCCCCTCCTCAGATAGGTTTCCAAGTCCCTCCATGACCTGGCTACCACCTGCTTCCCCAGCCTGCTGGTCTCCGGCATATGCCCAGCCTCAAACAACATGCCCACCTCTGGTTTTAGCCTACAGGAAATGCTCTTCCCTTCCCTCTCTGCCCACCTTTCAGGACAGTCCCTCCTCCAGGGAGCCCTCTCTCCTCTGAAACCCCATGGCCCTGTCCCACTCTTCTCCACTCAGCACAGTGCTTGGCACCCAGCAGCCCTTCTGAAGAGGCAACCCTGGAGCTAGATGATGGCAGAGTGGTAAAATGTAGCGCTCTGCAAGGCCATCCCAAGTGGGTAGGTTTCTGGTTCAAGCCTGGAGGCCTCTCTGAGTACTCTGGGCACATGCATGCCCATGATCAGGAGCTAGCTGAGGCGAGGCGTGGATTATGGCATCAAGACCCTGCTGTGGGTTCTCACTCAGAAGAAATAAATAAATAATCTTAAAAATAAATAAAGGTGGGCCAGCCCTGAGGCCTAGTGGTTAAGGGAGCTGGATCCCACAGGGCCAGTGGTGATTCAAATCCTGGCCTGGGGGGCAGGCGTGTTTCTCATCCTGACAGGATGAGAAATGGAGATGAGATTGCAGTATGACCACGCCCCACTGGGAGGTGCTTTCTCCTCTCTGTCCCTCTCTGTCCCCCTGTCCCTCTCTGGCAAGTGCACACACTCTGGCAAACTGCAAAATAAAAAGGCTCACATGTGCATGCCAAAAACCCCTGAAGGAGGGAGAAGAGATTGTGTGCCCATTCCCCATAGTGGGTTTTCACTTTCCCTTTCCCTCTCTCTGCCTCTCTCCAGCAAGCACATGCGCGCTCTGGCAAATCAAGAATAGAGGCAACTTAGACAAAGAGGACAGTCACTGACCCCCCCAGGGTGTCTGTCTTCAGTCTGTCCTGTCTCAACTAACTTTCTTCGGGACAAATGACACAGAGGAGGGGGACCACCGGGCTAAAGGACAGTCTCTAAAATGGACACTCACAGGATTGTCCTGGTTGCTGAGTCTGGCTTGGACGGAAAACAAAGGGCTGGCTGTGTAGACTCTCTGGGGTTAGAGCAAGGAGGGTCTCAAAGAGTGTCTGCCCCTGGCTTCCCAAGTGGGAAAATGAGCACCAGGAAAGATTAAGTTTGTCGGAGGTCCCCAGACAGGTCCGCGCTGAGTGGGCTCTGCCTGGCTGTCCCCTTCTCTGAAGGTCCCTGTGTTCTGGAGGAAGGACTGCAACAATCTGGCTTCCTGGGGCTAAGGCAGGCTTTGTCTACACTGATAAGTTCATCCATTTACTCAGCCATGTAACCCTTTGCACCCATGCTGGGACAGATCCTGGGAAGGGGATACCTGGATGAATCTGGGTGCTCACGGCTTAGCAGGACAGATAAGGAAAGCAAACAAATAGCAGGAGATAATGTAAGGAGGAAAGTCCTTCCTGCCCAGGAGAGGTGCAAAGTGCCCTGGGAGCTCAGAGGAAACCAGGAGGACTTGGGAGTGTGGAAGAGAGAGTGGCAGATCAGGAAAGGAAGGATCTTAGAGGTGTGGACAGAAGTCTGACTACTTTTCCTATTTTTCCAAAATCTTTTCAAAAGGGGACTGGGGAAGTTATGCCCACAAACATTAACAGACCATTTTACTTTCTATTAACAGAATTCTTCCTACCTCCTGTCCCTGGCATAATATCATTGAGATGTATATTTCAACCGATTAGTGTATTCTTTTGCTTATGCCTTCCCAAGACACGGAACTTCCCTTTTCCTTGAGATGTAGATTAAGCCTTTCTTTAACTAAGACAGGGATTTTCCCTTCCAATCGCTGACCTAAGAATTTGTGGAACCCACCTATAACCTACAAGCCCCCCCCTTCTACATGTCCCGCCTTTTTGGGCCAGACCAATGGGAAATCTTTTAATTAAATGTTGTGTGTCAATCTCAAAAGCAAATAAAAAAAACCTATGTACATGATCACCCCGAAAAAAGGCATGTATTCCTCTTCTCCGGGCCTAGGTCACTCACAGCTGGCTTGGAAATAAACCGCATTAATTATTAATTATTAATTTTACAGTTGGGTATATTTTTTCCGTCGACAGAGGCTAGGAGCTGGCAGAGGGGTGATTGGGTGCTTCCTGGTGTAGCCTAAGGTAGGACATTCTGCCAGGAGATGAGCTAAGTGGCCTTCCAGCAGCCCTCACCTGAAGCCCACCTTCGAACCTTCGCTGTTGGAGGGGTAGGAGGAGTCCTGACATTGGTTTCATGTCTGCAATTACCATAATAATTAATAATAATAGCCAATGCCAGCTTCTCACTTCCAAAGTGGCCTCCGTGTCACAGGCTCTGTGCTGAGATACAAATCTCACTGAAAACTCACCAAGAACCTCAGCCGGAGGCATTATTATCACTCCCATTTCCCAGATGAACATGCTTCGGCTTTGGGAGGTTCAAGGCTTTTCCAAGGCCACACAGTCAGAGCGTGCGAGGACTTGACTCAAACCCAGCTCTCTCTGACTCAGAACCTGGGGTCCTTCCAGCTACTTGTGCAATTGCTGGAGAGCAGGGTCTGTCTGGGTGGGGACCCAGGTGGCATCATGCCTCAGCTGTCATCAGATATTTCTTCTTCAGAGTGACGGGTTTGCATCCTGTCCAGCTTTGGGGGAGGGGAGGACTGCTAGGTGAGGGGACACCAACTCCTCTCGTCTTATCAGCTTTCTGATTTGGCCAGGGCCTGTCCTGCAAGTTCTCAGAAATGGCAGAGACCCAAAGAAGACATCCAATAAGCCTGCAGCTCCTGTTCTACTGAACACTTCAGCCACTGCTCTGCTGGGCAACCTGCAATTTCTTTTCTTTTTTTGGAGAGGTTTTTGCTGGGACCAGCAGTTAGCGTAATGGAGAGGTTTTTGCTATAGGGTGCGTGCACTCACCAGAAAGACAGAGAGAGACAGAGAGACAGAAAGTGAGAAATCATCCCCCAGGGGGGATGGCCATGCCACAATCCCTTCTCCTCCATCCTCCTCTCGGGATTCTGGACACGCATGCACACGCACCGGGCCTCAGTTTAAGCCACCGGGTCCCGTACTCGAACCGCTATCTACTACATGGGAGTCCAGTGACATAGCCATTACGCCAACTGCAACCTACAATTTCTGAGAGCCAGCCAGCTAGAAGTGGGAGCATGCACTTAAGAGTCAGACAGCCCTGGAATCCCAGCCAGCCTCAGCTCTGCTCCTTTAGGCTCCATAACCCTGAGCAAATCACTTGTCTTCAGAGACTCGGTTGCTCATCCACATAGTGGAAGTGAAATATCCATGTCCTAGGATTTCTAGGAAGCCTTGAATGAGATGATTTATGAAAGTGCCTGGCACATGAATGAACAGAAACCCAAAACAGCACCTCTCTGTGCTCGGATGGAATCCAGAGAGGCCAATACAGAGAACGCTGCATGTGTTTCCTCCTGGGTTAGGTGTCCCCAGCTCGGTCCAGCCTTTGATCTGCAGCAAGAACCTACCTGAGCTGGATGGCGTTCCAACACAGGGCCAACTAATCCAAGTCCTCCCAGCCTCTGCTGCCCCCCCCCGGCCCCCAGTGTGTGGGTGTTTATGTCCCCAAACGGGGACTCCCCTCCTCCCCGCCCCCGGTGTGTGGGTGTTTATGTCCCCAAACGGGGACTACAACCTCCTTAAGTGGACATCATTTATTCACACCGACTCAGTGCCAGGACCTTTCATACCTGCTGTCTGCATGCCAGCATGAAAGGTACAACTATTGGGTTCAAGATGAAGAAACAAGTTCCGAGAGATTAAGCAACTTGCTTGGAGACATCCAGCCAGCAAGAGGAGGAGACAGGGTAGGGCACCAGGTCTGAGTGGCTTTAAGCCCAGAGTGAGTTCCTTCTACTGTGCTACATGGCCTCTCTGGGGCCCTTGACCCAAATCCCGTGGTGGGCACCTGCTGGGTGTTCAGTAAGGACTTCAGGGAAGGGCTGGTGGAGACCCACGCAGGATCCTGTTTCCCCTTCACGAAGTGATGTAATCTGACTCAGAAAGGGTCTGATGCTCCCTGGCATTCAAGGCACCTGACTATACAAATGGGATGGGAAATAGGCCTTGAACTGTTCCCCAAATCTCGGTCCACCTTAGTGCTTCTGAGGGGTGACCTCCGCTGTGCCCGGCTTCACAGTGGAGAGCCCCCTTGGGGACATATTCCCCAAGATCTTCTGTGGATCAGAGGCTGTTTAGGAATCCTGGTCTCCCCAGAAGCACTCTGGTGGTGCTGGCCCTGAAGGGCTCAGAGGTTTTCCTGGGCAGCCCCCACACCGAGCAGTCCAGCTGGGGGAGGCCCCTCCCAGCTGGGAAGGCCCGAGGAGCCCACTCACACTGGATGTACCAGGCCCTCCAGATGGCGTTGTTGAGGCGGATCTTGTCCCGGCAGAGCAGTTTGAGGCCTTTGAAATTCTTCCACTTGGGAGAGACCAGCTTACCGCTGTGGGGGGAGATGATGAGTCAAGGAGGGGTGTGAGACAGGGGAAGATGGGGCGGGGAGCTTCTGCGGGGGCTGGCTCCACACTCTTCCGTGCACTAGGCATTTGTATATGGTTAGAATTGGAGGGATCCCTCCAAATCCTTCCCTACATCTGACCTGCCTGAAATTCCTACCCTGAGTCAGCCCCTTAAAAATATCCTACAGGGCCAGTCCCTGGCATGGTGGTTAAGGTGGCTGGATCCCACATGGCTGAAAGGGCAGTTGAGGCCCAGACCTGGCAGCTTGAGAAACATGCCAGGTGTGAGTGCCCAAAATCCAGAAAGCGGGAGAGATGGAGGGAGAGGGACTGTGGCCTGACCATTCTCCATGGGGTGTGTTTTCTCATTTCCACCCCCCTCTCTTTCCTGCAAGTACATGCATCCTCTGGCAAAATTAAGAAAAAAAGAATCCTCCTCCCCTCACAAACAATTATACATAAATAAATGAATAAATACCCTCCCAGGTCTCCACTAGGGAACCTGGTTTTCTCCGAGACTTACGCGTTAATCTGCTACCAGCATTAAATCCAGACCAGAAAGCAGTTATCAGCTCAGCCCTCAGAACACTGCAGTGGCCTCACCAGTTATCTTATAGGGCAGCTGGGGAGAGTTCTCAGACTCGTTTCTTACTAAGGAGAGTAAGAAATGACCTTTCTGCGTCTCAGGAAGGGAAAGTGACATGCCCAGGGTCACATATCCTCAGGCTTGATGCAGCCCTATGCCTTGTTCTGTCTCACTGGCCCCGCTTAGGCTCAGGACGGACCCAGGGGTGTCTACAATTGGTCTGGAAGGGGGAGGAGCTACTTCACCAGAGGTGGCCTCAGAGAGGTCAGTCACTGCCTTCTTGCCGCCCCTCTGGTGTCTGCCCCCTCCACATTCCCACGGTGTCAGTCTGGCCTGAGCTGGTAGGTAGAGGGGAGATAGCATCCTAACCAGAGTGTCCATCAAGCTCATGGGATAGAGGGGCTCTCTGCAGTGAGGAGCTTGGCCCTAAGGGTCCTTCTAGGCACAGGGCAAATCTGTGGCCTCCCAGAAGCTGACCCAGGAAGCCAAGATGTGCAGGTCTTAGACCTTGCCAGTCTCCAGTTTCCTCTGTCCTCATAGTCACAAGCCAGGCGTGTACACAATTTCTCTCTGGCCCACCCTTGCTCAGATGGGAATTATTGAGGTTCCAATGTCTTACAAAGCCAAGCCTGTTCTCTCTAGAAGAGGTTTCTCCCTCATCTTGGCGTGAGGGGTGGGTAAGCAGTATAACTCCTCAGCTCCTTTCCCTATAGCCTCTTCGGTGCACGGATCACTGGGCCCCCTCTCCTCACTGGTCTCCAAGCTCCTGTGTTTGTTTTGGGGTGGTGGTGGGAGGGTTCTGCCAATCCAGGGGACAACAGGCCTCATTACCCAAATAGTCATAGCCTGGCACTCAGGCTGGCCCCCTCTCTTCCTCCTGGAGTTAGATAAACACCATCTGTCTAGTAGGGCGGCATGGTGGGGGTCGGGATGGGGGGGATCTCTGACACCTCCTAGGCCGGTTTCTGCTGTGGCACTAGGGGGAGACTCCTGAGTTTGTTGCCCATGCCTGTATCTCAGCAACATCCCAACCCATTTTGATCACCCAGCATCCTGCCCTGGCCTGCCTGCCTCCCCTCCATTTTCCTGCCGAGGCGGTGGTGTCCGGCAGGGCTAAGGGGGTGGGGATGAGACAGGGAAATACCCATACACAGGAGAAAAGGATGTGGTTTGTGCTGGGCTTGTTGGTTGTGAGAGGAAGGACCCAGACTAGAACCTAAAAGCTTGGGCTAGTGTTCAAGAGCTTCTTAGGACCCTCGTGGCTGAGGGAGCTGGTTCCCACATGGCTAGTCACGCAGTTCATATATGGCCCTGGTAGCTTGGGAAATAACAGGCGTATGTGTGTATGTCCCCCAAATCCTGATAGAATAGAAAAATGGAGAAGATGACCGTGCCCATTGTGGGGTGCTCTCTTCTTCTCCCTCTGTCTCTCTCTGGCAATCACATATACTCTCTGGCAATAAATAAATAAATAAATAAATAAATAAATAAATAACTGAGAATTTTGGAAACAGGACGGGGAAAATCTTAGGAAACCTTAGTTTAGCACATAGTTCAAGTCCCTGTGCCCCTATTGTCCTCCTAACAGGATCCTGCTTGCTCTCCTACATCCCGAAGGCCATGCTTTTCATATCTAGCCAGCTCAGAGCATGAACAGTGCTTCCGAAAGCCTTTCTTGAGACCTGCCTCCCCTGGGGCTTCCACCCATGGAACCAAGGAACACAGCCTTCCAGAAAAGTCCTCGCCGTGCCCACAATGCTCTGCAGAGGGTGAAAGCTTGCCCGGCCTCTGCAAGATGTCCTTCTCCAGGTCAAGCTGACCAGTTCAACACACCACCTTCTGCACTCCGTGCCCTGCTGTTTCCTTCCCATCCAGTCACTCCTCTGGGACACTGAGCTCCCACAGTCCTCCCCCAAACACCCTATAATTGGGGATCTTCGAGGGCAGAAACATTGTCCTACTCTGAGTCTCAGGTTTTTGTTTTGTTTTGTTTTGCTACCAAAAGGGGGAAACCGAAAGTCTTCCTTGGGACGGAGGTACCCTCATCCCGGGCACTTTGGCCTGCACCCAGAGCAGGCCAGAGAGATTTAGTATTCTGGTGTTTGGAGAGAAAACACAGTCCCTCTGCCACCGCAGCTGCCCCGACTGGAGTTATCAGTCTGCAGTCAGCTTCTTAGAGGGGCAGTTCTTGGGGTGCTCTGTCTCTTATCTTTCCACCTCCCCAGAACCTGGTCTGGAGTAGGGAGTGGAGGTGAGCCAGCCCAAGTAGATGGGTGTATAGCATAAAACAGGCAGCTGAAACTGGGAGTGGGTGGGAAGTGGGAGACCCCTGGGGGACCCTGGGGAGGAGAGGAGCCACATCCGGTGTACCAGGACCTTAGATGCCCTGTCCCAGGCAGTCTCGTGATGTCCGAGGAGGGGAGGGGAGAACGAGGGAATTTGAACTTTCCACATTGGTCTGGCGCCCCGGACGATCAGGTTGCAACATGACCTGGGATCCGGGCCAGAACTTGTGGGCCAAGGTTACTTTGCCTCCAGCCAATGGGGTCGCGGCTCCGCGGCAGCGGTTGGGGGTGGGCTACACTCCCCCGCAATCTCCACCCCAGCTCCGGGCTCCCCTTCAGGGCGGCAGGTGCCGGTCGGTAGCCAGCGGTTCTCAGAAGGGGAGGAGGTGCTCCGGAGGAAGAGGAATATTTGCACAGAGGAAAGATCAAGGCCGGCCGATCTCCCTTACTCCCCTACGGTTTTCGGTTGATAATTTATCCTGGCCCCTCCGCTCTGGGGAACTTTGATCCAGGGCACTGGGCCAGGACTTGGGTTCGCGCCCTCCTTCGGGACACCGGCGTGGAGCGGAAGCCAGGCGCAGCCGGCTCGCAAAGCAGGGGTCCCGCAGCGATGGGCACTCAGTCTACCGCGGCGATCAGAGTCTGCTAGCCCAGGCCTCCCGGCTACCAGCCAGCCCCACGCGGCCTCTTGCACCCAATGCCGCGCCATGGCAGGGAACCTCTACAAAAGGCTCCTCTCTCTGGGCCCACCAGACACACTCCTCCCACCCGTCTTGACCTAGCAGTCAAGAAGAGCTGTTCGGCAACTGAGGGGAGGTGGGCAAGAGCCTGAGTTAGTTTCGGTCAACGTTGGTTAAGAATTGGGACCACCAAGGAGCATGGCACTAGGGGGACAAGGGGAGAGGGGAATAGGGTGGAGCCGCAGGTGGTCAGGTAGAGTGTTACCCACGCTGTGGAGGGTGGGGATGGCCTAATATCTGGAGAGCGTGAGGGATGCCTGTCATTTCTTTGGGAGCAGAGAAGTTGGGACCAGGGAGAAGGGTCTGGTGTACGCCTACAGAGTTCGGGGTGAGGGCAGGTGGTCTGTGCCCAAAAGAGGAGTTGATGGTGGTTTGGAATGGGAACCAGGAGGTGTGCAGGTCCGTCGGTGCCAATGGGTTGGGCTGGCGTCAGAGGACGCTCCGGGTTGTGGGAGTGGGGTGTCCAGGGTGTGGCCGAAGTCTCCGGGAGCAGCCAAGGACCGATCTCGGGTGGGCAGCCCGGGGCCCCAGCGCGCTGTCCCGCCACGGAGAGCCGAGGCTGTCGGAACCCCGAGCCGCCCTCACCTGTAGGCCAGGCTCAAGCACTCGAAGAGGCGGGTGAGTGTGGGGTCGATGCTGCGCGGCCCGAAGTCGGCAAGCCCTATGGGCCCCTCCTGGTCGCGCCGCCGGGTCAGCGAGTCGCTGTGCGGCGACGACACCATGAAGTGACCGCTGTGGATGACCTGCGAACGGAGCAGCCCACTCGCGCTGCGCCGGAGACTAGGGTCCTCCGAGTCTGTGTCCGAATCTGAGTCTGGGCTGGGGACCCCGATGTACCTTTGGGATGGAAGACAGTTACCAGAAAGACCAGGGCATAATTAGAGGGTTAGACAAAGCAAGACTTCATCTAACAACAACAAAATCAAGAACATGACACACGGCAAGTTTCTGGTAGAAGTCACATTTGACAAGGCAAGGAAACAAATCCTAGACATCAGGATGAGGGACATAGGGACATAATCTCCAAAACATTGGAGACTATGTGAGCCTAAAGGTTGATGAGAAGCCCAGTGAGAAGCTAAGTGACTTCAAGGATTGTTATAGTCAGTGACTTCAAATGCAAGGTCTTGCATGACTCAGTGCGGAGCCGCCTGTATAGCTCGTGTGGCCCGCACGGCCTTATTAACATAGCCCCTCCCCTCCTCTCCAATTGGTCGTGAGAGTAGGCAGGGCCTCGGGCGTCCGGCGCGCGGGAGCGGAGGGTGGGGCTTGTATTAGCGCCCTGTGCCCAGGGGTAAGCCGGTGGACCCTGGAGCTCCAGCAGGTCCGCCCCTACCTCCCCGCCCGCTTTTCCTTCTGTCGTGACTACTCGCGGTCCTTATGCAGCTGCCCCTACTTCACCCCAAAGGAGTCTCCAGAAGGGTCGACGATATCCCTGAACCAGAAAGCACCTTAGTGCCTGGGGTTGGTGCTACCAGGGACGCCCACCTACGAAGCCTGAGGTCGCCATCTCCCCTCACTCACCGAACTACCACCCCCTGTCCTCCCTGTTCTCTCTGCTTGCATTTACTGCCTCCTACCTCCTCAGGCAGCTGGAAGCCCCCACCATGCAGGCGTCTTGTGCATTTGACATGAGACAACGCCCATAAAGAGCCGGGCCCCAGGAAGTTGTCAGTGCCCACGGTTACTGCTGTGATCATCTCCTCACCTGCACGGAGAGGCCCAAGAGGGTTACCTGAGTGTGAGGCTGCAGGGACTGTTATCAGTGGCCCTGGGTGGCTGGCTGCCAAGGTGGCACCTTGGTTACCTCCCCTGGACAGCCTTCATGCGGATCTTCTCAAGGGCTCTGGGTCCCCTCCTCTCACTGACGCTGCGGTCCAGCTTTTGCTCCAGCTTTTGCCCTTTTCTCACCCTCAGGACTGTAATCGAGGCATTCACAGCCCTCCCCTCACAGGAGCTTTTAACAGTCTTCAAAGGTGGGATTCGCTGGCCCAGCCAAAACAAAAAGGTGCCCAAGTATCAGAGGGATAGAAACAAAGCCTGGTCCCTCCCAAGGAAGTCCCTGATGGTAAATTCCTCTGGCTTACACACAGCACCTTCTTCCAGCCCACAGTAGGGCCACACAGCCCCAAGAACACAGTGGCAGTGCTTAGAGAGCCCCAGAAACTGGCTGAGGAAGTAGAATGATGACCCGAGGCTGCACACAGGCCATCCTTTCCACCCACCTCCTTTGGCCAAGCAGCCTCTGTCTCTGCCACACAGTTACTTCACACTCCCAGGAGCCCTGGCTGTTTCCTGCTCACTCTGTTGTCCTGTTGTTGGAAGTGCATTTTCCCTGAGTATCCTTCTCAAGTGCCCATACAGACCTCCTCTTCCGGAGTGGACCGTGCCTCACTTAAGAGAGCCATCCTCGGGACCAGTAGATGGCATAATGGTTAAATCGCTGGATTCCCATTTGGTCAACTGCGGTTTGAGTCCTGGACCCAGCAGCTTAAACTCATGCTGGGCGCATGTGCGTGCCTGAGATCCCAAGAGGAAAATGGAGGAGAAGGGATTGTGGGGTGGCCGCCCACCATGAGGGGTGATTTCTTGCTTTCTGTCTCTCTGTCTCTTCAGTGAGCACACACACCTTATAGCACAAATCTTCCCCCCACCAAAGAAAAAAAAGAAAAAGAAAAAAAGAAAGCTATCCTCAAATGGCCCTCTTGGGATCCTTGGCACAGACACTGACAGGGTCACTACTTTGCCTTCTGTGCCTGTCCGGCTTCTCCCCTGCTCTGTGGGTCACTGAGGTAGGACTGTGTCCCACCGTTTTTGAATCCCCACAGTCCAAGAATTGGAAAGTGTTTGGAGAAAGGGGCATGATGCCAGAAGAAGCTGGTGGGTTGCTGTGGGGGGTGGGAGTAGGAAACAGGGCCTCCTCCTCTGCCCTGGGGTTTCATGGTTCAAACTGAGGCCTGAACTGATCCTTATTCTGCCACTAATTCCTGGGGAAAGCTGTCTTACTGGAGATCTGTCTCCCCATCTGTAAAACGAGGAGCCTGGATTCAATCATTTCTTTTTTTTTTTTTTTTTTTTGAGAGAGATTTTCGCTATAGGGTGCGTGCGCTCGCCAGACAGACAGAGAGAGACATAGAGACAGAAAGCGAGAAATCACCCCCCAGGGGGGATGGTCACGCCGCAATCCCTTCTCCTCCATTCTCCTCTCGGGATCATGGGCATGCACGCACACACGCCCGGCGTGAGTTTTAAGCCACCGGGTCCGGGACGCGAACCGCGGTCGACTACGTGGGAGTCCAGCGACATAGCCATTACGCTAACTGCTGGTTCCCATGGATTCAATGATTTCTTAAGGTCCTGAAATTTTAGCCACTTTTGGTTCAAAGGCCAATACCAGCATCCCAAGTTCACCCCATATGCTCCTCCTTGAGTATCCTGTCTCCAGGGGAAAACCCCAGAGTTGTCTCTTGTGGTTCCAGAGACTTTCCCCTAAGTCGGATCTGAAGGGTAAGAAGATTACAAGTGAATTCTCTCCCTCACTTGACATCCTCCCCTCTCCCCAGCCCCCTATCGCCCCCAATCTGTACCTCATTTCTGCACCCCTTAAGGCCTGATAAAGCACTGACTAGGCAAGTCCTGCCTATAGAATTGGAAACAAAACACCCCACAGTGTATACGGTCAATTCAAGATGTCCACAAATTCTGCTTTCTCCCGTGATATGACCCAGCTGGTTCAGGGTACCCCTGCCCGGATGACAGCACGGGCTCAGTGTGAGCTGGCCTGGCTCGTCCTCTTGCTGCCTCCCTGACTTGGCCTTTATTACCTACTGCTTTTGTTTATAGCCTCTTAGCAACAAGCCTGATTCGTAGTCCAGGAAGGTTCAGGACAAGGTCCTGACTTAGTGTGCGGATCTGGGTGTACCCAGTGAGCCCGCCTGACACCGTGCCCCCTCCCTGCTTCCTAGTCTTGGTTCTCAGGATTCCACCCTGAGACTGCCCTTCTCATCAGGAAAGCTCTCCCACCTTTGAAGTGCCACCTCCTACATCTTCTCCGAGCTCTCCAGGTTCATATCTCTGAGTTCCCACAACCCTTGTTCCAATACAACTCTAATTTAGTTCTTTGTGTTCACAGCGAGCCATGCACATGCCTTTCTTTCCCACTAGATGGCAAATTCCCTGAAAGCAAGATTCTCATCCTCTTTCTATAACCCATTTGTCTCTCACAGGCAAACGTGTAAATGGGTGTTGTTGAATGAATGAGTGAATGAATGAATGCGTGGGTTTATGTTACATCTATCCACTAGATGCGGTCAAGCCGTCTGTCTACCCATGCACACACAGAGAGAAAATTAAGGTGCATATTATGTGCATGACCTAGGGCTAGGTATTTAATTTTTACTTTTATAAAAGTTAAGAAATAGAGAAAAGCAAATATTTGACACTCTTTTTCTTTTTGACTTTTTTAGCTGCCAGAGGATGTGTGCACTCACCAGAGAAAGAGAAAGAGAGAGAGAGAGAGAGAGAGCCCTTCATCGGGGTGTGCTCATTTTTCCTCCATTTCTCTATCCCTTCAGGATTTGGGGTATACACACACACGTGCCTGATGTGTTTTCAAGTGCTACGACTGGGGCTTGAACCACAGTTGGCCATGTGGGATCTGGTTCCCTGTGCACAGGGTTTAACCACTGTGCTTTGGGGACAGCTCTCAGCACTTTTGATCCCTAGAGCATAGAAAGTAGATTAGTGGGACCAGCAGATGGCATGGTGGTTAAGGTGCTGGACACTCCCACGTGGCTGACCACAGTTCGATCCTGGATCTAGAGGCTTGCTTGCTCTCTCTCTCTCTTGTCAAATTAAAAGAAAATAAATAAATAAATAAAATTTAAAAAGAAGAAAGTAGATTAGTGATTGCTAAGGGTTGGGAGTGAGGGAATGGGGGTGACTGTTAATGGATACAGTTTTTTGTTTTTGGAATGATGAAAATGTTCTGGAATGAGATAATGGTGACTCTGCACAGCTCTGTGACTATACTAAGAGCCATTGAGAAGGGGTGAATTTTATAATACATGTTATATCTGAATTTAAAAAGTAAGCACCTGTATACATTATTCCATTTGCTGGTAATCCTTTATTCTTCTTCACACACACCCCAAAATTTGCTAGAAAGTGAATGCAGTTGCCAGAGAGAGAGAGAGAGAATGAGAGAGCACTCCCATAGGGGATAGTCATGCTGCAATTCCCTCTTTTCAGGATTTTGGACACACACACATGCACTCAGCATGTTTTTTTCAAGTTGCTGGGTTAGGGACTTGAACTACACTGTTAGCCATGTGGGATCCAGCCTCCTTAACCACCATGCCACAACTGGCCCATAAGAGTAATCCTTTCAACCGTGTGAGAACGTGGATGTGTTAGTATTTTCATCGCTTTTCTACAGAAGAGGAAACGGAGGCTCTGATGGATGAAGTGCTCAAGAGGGTCATAGTGAGAACTAGCTAACATTTACAGAGCACTTACCACCCAAAGAAGTCCACGGAATCATTACAACAGACCTGTTCTACAGACAGGGCAACAGGGCAGGCTGAAATATGGCAAGGAGAGATCTGGATTCAAACGCAGGCAATCTGATGTCAGCCTGCTCCACAAGTACTAATCTTCTCCAGTTCAAAGGACTAGTGATCCCTCTGGGGGGTGTGGTATGAACAGAACCTCAGTCACTGCTTCTGCCAGTGTAACTTGGCACAGCACTTGGGAGAAGTATTTGGCAGTGTCTACCAGAGCTGAGCATCCCCCTACTTTATGACCCAGCAGTTCCACAGAAATGT